CCAGCATATCTGTGACTGGGTGAGGGGGGCAGGTGTGTGTGTGTGTGTGTGTGTGTGTGTGTGTGTGTGTTTCTCTCTCACTCGAGAGTGTAGGACCTCAGAGCAGGCACTTGAAACAGCAATGTGTGCCCAATGTAACACTCATCTGGTCTGGCTTGAGATGCTGATCTCCAGCCCACCATGTGCATGCAGCCCAGCTGGCTGTGGTTAGAGAATGAGTGCGTCATTCTCTGGCACGATGGTCATGATGGCATGGCCATCACCAGCCAGCCAGGAACAGACCACGGACCCTCTCACCCGGCAGGCCACCCCCAAGCACAAAGGCTGTCCAGCAGCTATGCCACACATTGGAGCAGGGGAAAGGAGGGCGCCTGGGCCAGATTTGTGGGGTCTCTGGGCTGTACCAGGCACATCTGGGGATGGGCCAGGCTGGAGGAGCATGCCAGGACACCAGAGGTCCGCAGCAGATTGCAGCAGTGGGAAGAGGGGGACCGGACACAGGCTGAACGTCTGGCTGTGGTCCCTGATCTCCAAAAGACTCTGGCTGACCTGTGAGCTCTGATCCTGGGGAAATGAAGAGGTATCTAGGTATGCTCAGAAAACAAGGCAGGAGGTGGAGGCAAAGGATCCCTTCCTCCTCATTCTTCAATACCGCTCTTGTTTGGGGTCACAGGGCATTGAGTTGTGAGAGAAAGAAGATGGGAAAGCAAAGAGTAGACCCTAAGTGTTCAGTATGGAAGTTTCAGACTAAGAGAGTGCCTCCATTCACTAGCTTCCCCACAAGCAAGCCAAGGAATTCGGGGGAGATCAGAGGCCCTTGCCTTCCTGCGCAGCCATCCTGGCACTAGGGGGCGCTGACAGCAGGGCGAGGAGGACAGGAGAGGAGCACTGCAGTAGCAAGAAAAGCAGGGGCTTTCTCAGGATCTGGGCATCAGGCTGAGTGAGAAAGCCCCAGATGAGGGAGCAGGTAAGACTACCAGTATGGGGAAGGGTGACGCCTTTCCAGAGCAGAGGGCAGCCCCAACAGTCTTGATGCGAAATGCGGCACATCCACATTGCCAAGGAAGCGGAGGGAACCAGATCTGGAGCCAAGCGTGGCACCCCACTGCTCCTTAGCACAGCTCCCCAGCAACACCCCGGCAGCCTCAGTGACCCCAGCTCACGAGTCCGAGAGGAACACCCCACTTCAGGGCAGGGACGCTTGACAAGGGGGCTGACAGGGGGAAATGTGCTATTCCTCGGGGACAGCTCCATCCAGCCTGAGCTGCCTTGGTCGTGTTTCTTCACCGCTCGGGCCTGGGTAAGATGGAGGCTGGCGGGCTTCTCTTTGCCTCTGACTCCCAGGGTAACCAAGGCCCTGCTGCCTATGCCTGTTCATCTCCCACTACCACCTGGGCCTCCTGACCTCTAGTTCCCCACCCTCCTCCACCCCAACCCCAACCCCAGCAAAAACTCTCTCCAGTGCACACCTCATCTTGCTTTTCCTCTCCTTACAGACCGCCAACGACTCTGCAGGCCCACAGATCAAGTCTGAACAACCCAGCAGTGGCAAACAGCCTTCTCCAGCCTGCCTCCTGGCCTGCCGCATCGGCGCTCTCCATTGTTCTGTCCCAGGAACCCCGTCAGGAACCTGTGCAGATGGCGGTAGGTTCCCTGGGCCCCAAACGGCTGGCGATCTCGGACCGGTGTCCATGCCCCCTCAGGCTCGTCCTCTTCCCTTGCAAAGCCTGCCTGGCCCCCCAACCTCCATGCTGACTCCTAGCCAGACCCTCGAAACTCCCAGGTGTGCTCCTCCTCCGCACCCGGAGAGACTCTGCTCTGTTTTTTGCGGGGGGTCTGTGTCCAATCTCTGTATCCCCATCGGCAATCAGAGGGCCTGGAAAACACTAGTGTTCAGAACTCACTTCCGGAATGATGAACGATGTGTGGTAAGGGGCACAGGGTCATGGAAAAAGAGCCAGAAGCCTACGTCTCTTGTGTCTTTTGTAAAGTCCCCTCCTCTCATCTCTCCCTGGCAGAGGAAGAGTGAGAATGTGCCGGAGTGGCCATGGAGGAGGGGTACACGCAGGATCCCCGCTTTGAGTCATCCCAGCCGCCCAGCCCTAGGAGCAAGCTGCACATGGAAATGCGTGGCCTTACCTTCCTCCATCCCGAACGCATGCTTTGTTATTGTTGGGTTGCTCACGGACGCTGGGCTGTTGGCATTGTTTTTTTTTTCCTTTTTTTTTCCCTTTTGGAAAGAAAAGCATTGAGGAATCTTTTTGGAAAAGATATGGACAATGATTGAGAAGTACACTGATCTCTGCAAGCAGGTGGAGGGAGTGTAAGGAGGCACTGGGGGTGTCACACAGGGAGGAGGGGAAGCTTGCAGCAGGACTCTGCAGTCAGGGAAGACAGGGACATGCACATGTGGCTAGGTGGGGACTGACCAGTCTTGGGGGTCCCGGAGACAGAACTGTTGGCCCCTTCCAGTATGGGGCTGGGGGAGGAAAAGTCACCCACTGTGAGCATGAGAACAGCTTTGGGAGGGGAGAGAGAGTTGGGGACCTCTGGTCCATGCAGTGTGAATGGGGCCCCATGCAGGTGGATTGCTGGGAGAGGAGACAGGCGATGCAGTTTTCAGGGACATCTGGGATCTTCTGACTCAGTGGCCCAGCTCTGGCTGCCACCCTCCTCCCCACCACTCCCGAGCCCCCCAGCTCTGAGAAGCTCCCTGTGGTGGAAGTGGACTTGTGGGGAAGGCCCACCAGAAGCCGGCCGGAGTTCAGGGGAGAATGTCGGGGCGCTGTCCCTGAAGAAAGTCCCCAGAAACCTCCCCTTAGAGATCCAGATATTCTGGCAGTGGAGAAGAGCTAGCTGTGAGAGAGCTTGTTCTTGAGGGCCACTGAGTGGGCCAAGGAATGAGGGGCTGGGCAAGCCCGGGAAGTGGCCAAACCCGGACATAAGAAAATCTGATTGTGACCTCACATTCTCCAGGGACTTGGTGCTCTTGGGTGGTGGACAACAAAGCCAAGGATGAAGAAGCAGTGCTGGCCCTGGGTTCCACACCACAAAGAGGGAGGCGGGGGTGCTGGCACAGGCCACGAGATTCCAACACTCCCAGGTACCACTAAGCCTAGTCCCAGTGCCCGCCACTGGCTGTGTCCACCTGCTCCCTGCTGCTTCTCACTGAAAAGTGCTCCATGCCATACGCTAGAATGGGCAAGGGAACCAGGAAAGGGCCAGTAGCCAAAAGGCAGGAGGAGCCTCTGCTCTTTTGAAATCCAGAGATGAAAAGGTTTGACCCTCATGCTGTCCCCACTCCATAAAGTTTGTCAAACCTCAAAGGTGTTGAGGGGCAGAGGCAGGTGGCTGGCCTTGTTAGGGAGAAATGACTCTGGCTACTTCAGAGTGTCTGTGAAGACACAGGCAGGGTCTCTGTGAGGAGGCCGGCCACGACTGCTCACAGCGGAAGCCCCTGCCCCTCATCCCACGGTGGCCAAGGTGTGAGCAGCAGAGGGCTGGCTCCTGGCAACTGATGAACACAGTGCTGGGGACGCACGGACAAAGGCCTCTTTTCACAACCAGCCACTTTACTGAACAAAGATGGTCTCTGGTTCCCCTGTTCCTGGGGAGGAGGGTGAACCACTGAGGACACTGGGGCCTGAGGGAGAACTGGGGAAGGTTGCGAACTCAAGTGGGTGGGTGATCCTGACAGAGGACCAGAAGTAGAGCCCTGCCTTGGGTGGGGTGTTCTCTGGGTCTGGCCAGTCTGGGACCTCGCAGGGGGGC